CAATGTATGATGTTCTTACTGAGAGACAGTACCCAATTCAGCAGGCAAAGAGTTCTTGTAAGCCTCAGAGATACCGACAGCAGTCTTGGAGAGGTTGCTTCTCATATCTGAGATTTTGGATCTAACAAATTCTTTATATTGTGAGACAGAGTCAACGCATGCAACTAGTTCACGAGCACATATGAGAATCTCTTCCTCTCCTTGCTTTATTGCTTCCTCATGCTTCAATTTCGCATTCTTCATACAACAATAGATGACAGTAAGTTTGGAGCAGATTCTAATTAAATAAACCAGACTGGAGTGGAGGAATGGCTTATAACAGTTCGTAGTCAAGTGCTTTCCCTCCTAACTTAGGTGCAAGACAAGATATCATGAGATGGTGCAATACTTGTAGAAATCTCTAACAAGCCCGACTTGGTTGCGTTAACAAGCGTTAACGAAAGATTGATTACCAGTCGATCTAGATTTTGGACAAATCTACAAAGAAATTATCAATCAATCTTTATAAGTTGCGGGTGAAACACATTTTCAAACCTCGTATCTGCACTTAGTTTCTATTTGATCTCTTAGTTTTCGAAGAGAACACTTTTGATCATTGAGATTTGAGCAAAGACAAAGGGTTTTGTTTAGTGAAGGAAGGTGAATGGGTTTTAGAGAGGGAGCAAAGGAGGAGGAAGAAGAGTAAGGGAAGAAAGTGTTAGGAATCACGGATCTCCACGATGGTATGATATTAACCACTTTGATGGAGATTTTATGGCTTTGCTTTGGACATCCCCAAAAAGCCTCATACCAATAGAGATGTATTTCTAACTTATAAACTCACGTTCATTTCCAAAATTAGCCAAGTTCAGAAAGCAAGAAAGAAATGCTACACAAGCTAATGAAGTTTCAAACTCGATAGTCAAGAGAACTAGTCAGGAAGTTAACGGCCAAATCATGATTCAGTTAGCCAACCGATAGTCAAGAGACCTTTAAGAACCATTTCTTAAGACAATAATTATAGTGGGAGTATTAATACCTTCAAAATCTCCCCTGCTTCTCTTTCCACGACATCTATGCTATGAGCTTCTAGTTGAACATCCTCCACCATCTTCTTTGATTCTGTGGAGCATCTTAATGTATAATCTCGTATTTCATTTTTTAAAGAGTTCACTTGAGTTTCAGCCTGAAAAAATAGATACCATTTACACCATCAGCAAATCATTCTGTACACAAGTTCCTAGCAGGCAGCCAAGCAAAACCTTCATCAACAAAATGCTAACTGAAATGGTGAATTAAAATGAAACTATTTGCAGCCAAGTTCCATGTCTGACACTAAGTTCTAATTAGAAACTTCGCTTACTTCTTCAATATGGGATTGAAGGGAAAGTATGTGACTGCGTCTAGACTCAATTTTAGCAGTATTTTCACTTGATTGCTGCCTGAGAGAAATCAAATCTTCCAACTTCGTCATCGAACTTTTCTTTATGTCCTCTGCAAAGGAATCAAGTGCAGGCTTAATGGTTGTCTTATAGTCAACCCCCATCACATCAGCTGGTGTTGACCCCTTTGCATTCAGGAAGTACTGATGACAATTATCAAGCTTTAATCTAATAAGAACAAAAGGAAGTTGTATCAACAAAGTAATTATGCTGAATTGGTAAACGAAATTTCGAATCCAATAACAAAATACGTTCAGAAACTCATGCTTGTAAATATCATTTGAAATGGATAGGCTTCACAAGATGTGGGATTCACAAAAATAAATCACCAACAACTCCAACAAGTCAAAATCTTAAAGCTTAAGTTCATGGGTTATGATAAATTTAATAACACAAATGTTCAACAGTTCCGTCGTTTGTGGATTTGAAAAATTGTAGAAAACCCAACAAACGAAATCAATATTAATTGGAGAGGAAATGTCATTACATAGATTCGAATACAAGATCTTTTTCTCGAATACCACAAAATGAACCATCCAACCAGTGAGGGGAGGATTGTTAGGTGAAGCATGTCACCCATGTAGAGCAGTCTCGCTAATTCTCTTTGTATGAAATTTGGAGGATTTCCACTCAAAAGCTTAAGTCGACGGGTTATAGTAAATTCAATCATATCAGCACATCAATAAAGTACATGTTGAGGATTGTTTGAAGGGAGTCCTGCATTGGCTAATTTAGGGAATGGTCATGGGTTTATAAGTAAGGAATACATCTCCAATGATATGAGACCTTTTGGAGAAACCAAAAGGAAAACGATGAGAGTTTTATGCTCAAAGTGGACAATATCATACCATTGTGGAGATCGGTGATTCCTAACAATCCATTCCCTCGTAATAACAACTATAATTACCCAAACAATTCAATACAATAAAAAATTCTTGTCAGTTGATAAGATCCTTGACTAGAAAGGTTTCAAAAAAACGATCTATAAACTCGATTGAACAGGATGAAAGTATCAAGTTTGACACATCAGAAAACAAGAACTACATGATAACAACAATAAATAGAGAAAAGGGAAAGAAGGGCAACCTTCTCATAGCCTGGTTACATTCCCTTGCCATGGCCTCAAGCTCCTTAAATTTATTCCCCACTGTTGCATCAATATCCCATGTCTTCTCCTCCCACGAGTTCCTCGAGACTTCGGCATCACCAATGTCCCTCTCCACAGCCTGCAATTCTCTCCTCATCCTTTCCACATCTCTGGCATTAAACATCTGAGATTCCACCCTCATCTTCAGCTCTTCATTTTCTTCACAAATCTTCTTGTTCTCCTGCACTTTAACTTCCAACTCCTTTTCCTTTTCCTCCAATATCTTCTTCATTTCCTGCATCTTCTCACTATACCCAGCAATCATTGTATGGAACTTCTTCACATCCTCTTCAAGCACAGTCTGCTGCTTCTCAAGAACCTCCCTCTGCGAGGGATCCGACCGCAACGCCTCGGCTTTGGCTTCGAGCTCCTTAACTTCCATCTCCAATCCATTCAAGCTCTCAACTGCATCATCCCTCCCTTTCTTTAACCGCTCCATAAACTCCTGATCCAAAGCTTCCACCGAATCATCATCCCCACGTATATATTGCACATAGCTATTCAGCACATATACATTCACATCGTTACTCGAAACAAACGAATCTGAATCGTTTGCAAGGTTATAGTTATAAACAGCAACCTGCACAAGCCAGTGAAGTAGGGCAAGAATTGGGTACCATTGGTGAGGAGCAGGGGGGGTCTTGAGGATGCCCTTATTGATTTTGAAGGGATACCCTAGGGATTTAAGGACGATGGGGAGATCATCCTCAAGCTTCGTCGGGTGATAATCGAGACATTGAAGAAGCAAATGGATGGTTTCAGTGAGATCTTTGAGGGAAGGGGGAGAGAAGGGTTTGAATGTTAGATTGAAAGAGTGATTGAAAAGCTCCTTGAGAGACGAATTAATAGTGTTGACAGCAGAAATTTGAACGGCTCGCTCTTTGTACATGTCGATGGAGGCAGCGGCGGGACGAGCCATTCCGATGGAAGAAGGGCGGCTACTGGCAAAGCTGGCATCGGAATCGCGGCGGAATTGGGGAGTAGGTGGCGGTGGAGGATTGAAAGATCCCTTAGGATGGCGGCGGCCGTTTCCCTTCATCTAGTCTCCGGTCGATATCTTCACAATCTCCGGCGGGTACTTTTTCTGAAATTTCAATTTGAAAGATGGCATAGGAAAGGGGCGGAGGGAACTTTGATTTATATGGCCACGTCATAGTCACGCACTGACCGAAACTACCACTACAGGAAAGAAAATCCGGTTATTTACGAAAGAACCACTCAATTCTTAAATTACAAATTTAGCCTTTTAACTTTTTAAAGAAATTTTTAAAATTTTTAAAATTACAATTTTTTATACAAATATTTATTTAAAATATCAATCAATTTGAAAAATATTTAAAATTTTCATAATTAAAAATTCGAGTATCTATTAATTTATAGATAGAATATACACATAACTTAAAATTCAAAAATAAAATCTATAATTTAAGCTTATAATTTTAGCATATCAAAGTAAAAAAAATATAAATATTCTATTTTTCAAATGTACTGATAAATAATAAAAATTACTCATTTATTTTTAAAATACTTTAATTGTTAATAAAATTATAATATTATACATTTCAAAAATACTATTGAATTATAAATTCTTTTTAAAAAAATTACTCTTAAAATATTTTAGCATTTAAAATTTTTAATTTATAGTTTTTACTAAATTTAAATTTAAAAAAGAATCTTATATTTTGTCTCCTGATTTTTCTCCTGTTATATATCCAAAGCTTTTATTTTCTTTTTTCAAATCTTAATTAAATAAATCATTTTCAATTTTATTAATCAATATAAATAAGAACTCAAAGCATATAAATATATAATATTTAAACTTCCATTTGAAGAGCGTTTTAGGTTTATCAAATTTCATTCTTGTTCCTTCTCATCATGATTGTAGACGATCTTACCATTAGAACAGTTTTGTTCGGTGTTCTTATAATGGTAGTTATCGAACTTTTTCTCCGCTATAGATCAGAGTGCTACAACTGCGAGGTAGATATTCAAACTTCTAATCAAAATATTTTCTTACTTTAACGATGGAGTTACGTTCAAATCAAAACCCTAAATTCGAAGAAGAGTGTAGATGAAGCAGATTCTTCGACAAACCCGAGGCAATTATTATTTTCTCGTAGATTTTTTTTTCTCAGATAGTTTCTAATTGCATTAGATCATGTTTTATTTATGTTATTAAGAGTTTAATTTCGTATTCTTCTATCTATTTACTGATTTTCTTTTGTAATGAACAAGTTAAAACTCGTTTGGTAGCGTTTGTTTCAGTAGAAGTGCTTGTTAGCAATAAAGTCATACTTCTCTTTCTCGTACATTCTTCTTACTGTTTAGATACATATAGAAAATCACGATACACTAAGTAAAGTTCTCAATAAGAAGACGTAGCAAATCAAAGAGGGAGCCGGGTTTGTTTGTAGTTTTTGTTGAACGATTCCTTAAGGAAGATCAAACAATTTTAGCATAGCTTAGCAAATAAAACATGGGTTTCGATAATCGGGACGTTTGATCGTCATGATAAAGAAAGGACAGCACAAATGTAAACTGAGTTCTGAGATCAATTAAAAAGCTCTAAGAACAAAAATTGTAAGTTGAAGCACTTATGAAGCAGTGTCAACAGGTGTGTCGGAATGAGCTCCCCATTCAGTCCAAGAACCATCATAGACTGGAACATCATGTTTCCCAAGCCGATGGAGGCCCTGAAAATTACAGATTTTCACCACTCAGCCTTCTAAATCTTTGATTTTGTTCCATAGATTAAGAATTTGAAGGTAAAGAGATGTACCAATGCAAGAATACAGGCAGTAACGCCGGTGCCACAAGACGTTACGACAGGATTTTCCAAAGAGATGCCTGCAAAAACCGATCAACTTTAGTATATCGTCGTGCCTGTTTGGGACCTGAGACCCTTGAAGAATCGCCTTTCTTCGGTCTAAACGAATACCGTTTTTGTTTAGGTAAAGAACTTAACCTTCTTGTTCGAAACGTTTCTTGAGCTGATCTGCTGGTAAAAGTGACTGTGAACTATCCAGCATCTGCAAAGGCCATTTCAATTGGGAAGGATTCTAAAACTATAGATACAACTTCTAACAAACGAGATTAAGAGCTTTAAGAAACGAATGTTCGTTACGAGATATAGAAGAACAAAAAATATGGGGGCATACATATATATATCAGCCTGAAACCAACCAGAACCAAATTACAGAAAGCAACTCTAATCGTTAATGATTTAAAAACAAACGATATTTACGAGATGTCCTAACGATTAGTACCCTCCTCTTTCGAGCTAAATGCTTAACAGAATCAAATCTTCACATTTATTAAAAGAATAAAAGTTCTAGCTATGAATATACGATCTCAAAGAAACAGAGAGTTTAAACAGCCTAAATGACAGTTAGAATGCTATGTAACTCTTCGACGAAATTGAAAATTTTGATATGAACAAACCAAATACGAACCCAAAGAAGAAGGGTAACTGTTTCAAATTCTAGCTATGAACTACAAACATAAGGTACTAACTGCTATTGATAATAACCTGGGCAAAAGGAATGCACTTGCTGCCAGGAACATGGCCACTTCTGATTCCTTTCCGAGGCTCTGGGACAGCACCATCAAATCTGCAAGACGATGTAGTTCGAGGATACAAAGGAAGATTTTATCACAGATAATTCAACCAAATACTCCATCATTCAATTGACGGACAGAAAAGGGAGTCGATACAGTATGGAATAGCTCGATTTCAAAAGTCTTGAGAAAAGCTAAACGAACATATCCACCAGTGTTCCACCAATAGACCGATCAAAAAAATCTAGAATCTACAGTACCTGGCCTTCGATCGAGCGTCTACATGTTGGTGTGTTTGTCCTGTAATATTCTCTTGAACCTGGAACATGTTAGAGAGAAAAAGTTCACATCTAAAATGCATATAAGATACGATTGAATTGCTTTTTTACACACGCTCACTCTAGAACGCTATGATGAATATCCAAAATCAAGTTTCTTTTTTGGCGCCGAACATATACCAACAACAATCAAAATTGCAGCAGAATGACAAGTTCATATATCAACTCAAACTTTAAGGATTAAGAGTCCTAAACACTCAAAAATATCAGTTCATACGTTGCTATATGATTCTATAAAGCATTATATTATTCATATTCTAAGCTAACAGTTTTCTTTTTCTCTTTTTCGTTTTGAGATAAAGAACCAAAGTTTCTTTGAGGGAAAAAAAAAAAAAACTCAACATCTTTGTAATGAGCAGCCTAACCTTCTCAATGTCCCAGACCAGATGTGGCTGAAACTTAGTCTGGAATGTAATAGGCCCAACCTGAGAAAACGAGTAATTGTTGTCGTTGTAACATTTAAGTAACTTACGGGATGGAGTATTTGTACAAAGACGACAAATTATACAAACTATTCATGGCACTAGCAGCTTTCAGACAAAACATGTGAGATCCCACATCGATTGGAGAGGGAAACGAGTACCAGCGAAGACACTGGGCCCCGAAGGGGGGAGGATTGTGAGATTCCAGAACGAAACATTTTAACATAGCATCACCAGATGCACTAGATAAATTCTCTTTCCTGCATACACGTTTTAAAAACGAGGGGAAGCCCGAAATGGAAAGCCTAAAGAGAACAATATCTGCTAGCAGTGGGTTTAGGTTGACACAGAACACATGAAGTTATGAACTTACAGCTTGCCCCTGATAAATTTTCTCTATTGCCTCACTTGCAGCAGTAGCTTTCAAAATAGCATCACCAGAAGCACTGGATTCAACATCATATCCTAACGTACGCCATTTCGGCAATCCTCCATCTAGCACCCAAATTCTGTCGTGCCCAAAGACTCTGAACATCCTATATTCAATTACCAGAATTGATTTCTCGAATAAACGTTCAAAAACATAAAACATTGCTAAGTCAATTGTTTATTTCTGCATCTCACCACCAGACACGAGCGGCACTAAAAAGTCCTTTTCCATCGTAAACAACCACACCATCTTCGTTTTGAATGCCAAGAGCGGAGACAACAGCAGCAAAAGCTTCCTCTGATGGCAACATATGTGGTAACTAAAACAAACAATCATTTCCATCGTCTTAAATTAGCAAATGAACTGAAGAAAAGATAAATAAATTAAAGAAAAAGAGATGATTTCACCTTTGAAGTTCGGTCGGATACACCGTCAATATCAAAGAAAAGGGCACCAGGGATGTGAGCAACCTATCAAAATTATAACCACACTAAGAACTGATACTTCACCACGAAATATAAAATGTAGTTCACCACACATCTATCAAATCGACTACCTGGTACTCCTGAATCGGATTCCTCTGTTCATCTGGCATGTACCACGATGCATCTAACACCTAAAAACGAGCAGTTTAAAAGGGAGAAAAGTTTTAGAACTACAAAATACAACGCTATCAGACTTGCAAATCGCAATTTTCCTAGTCAAAATCAAGATATGTTAATAAGCAATGAGCAAGAACATTCTTATATGAATGTGTAGAAATCAAGAAGAAATGCATAGTCCCAAGGCATTAACAATAGGTACTGACTAGATCAACGCACAGTCAAACTGTTCAAGATAAAATATGAATCATAATTAATTACTCGATGGAGAAAACCAAACAAACCGAATTCTGAATGCTGCAAATACTGAGGGAATACGACATGGACGCCTCGCAAAGAAAAGGACTAGAAGCATGGATACCATAGATTTTAAGAGCATTTAAGTAACCAAGAGGATCGAGTAATTGTCCCGTAAGAATAATCAAGATACACACAAGCTAGTCCGAACACTCATTCATTAAAAAAATAGAGCATATAACCAAGATAACAAACAACAATGTCATAAGTACTCTATTAACATACATGCTAAATGATATGAATCCAATACACAACACTGGATAACAACGAATCAAAGATTACAAGTCTAGAATGAAATGAATCAAAACAAGGCACAAAACTAATACATCACAATCAGCATATTGAACAGCATTTGTTAAGCAACCACAGGAGTAAAAATTATAGGTGAAACCAACAAGAAATGATACCTTCAAGTCAGGCTGTTTGAGATTTGAATGGAGCCAATCAGGGGAAACAACAGGTTCATCCGTGGATAAGGATTTGGTTGAAAATTGAGATCTAGCCCCAGCAACAGAGGAAGCCATGAAAGAACAGAGTCGCCGAGTCGGATTATGTGCTACACTGGCTGAATTAACTTGAGAGTGAAACAATTTCTTCTACAATATAGAAGAATCAAAACAGAGCAAATTCATAAGGCTTTAGTAGACCAAAAAACCTAAACAGAAGATGAATTCAAAACAACGAACACTTCACTTACATTGAAGAAGGAAGCAAAAGTCTGGGGTTTGCCGGATGGAGCGGAGAAAGAATGAGCGAATCGATTAACCAAAAGGGATTTACTCAAAAGGGTCGATGCCATCTACACGAAGAACATAGAAAATCCCGTCGCTTCCAGAAATTTGTCGGATTTACAGAGAAAACAAACAAGGGTTTTGGATTTTCAAGTGCGATAAATGATAACAAACAAAGGGAGAGAAGAACAAACTTCAATTCATCGGCAGAGAGTTGAGAGTGAACAAAAAAGCGGCAAACCAGAGAGAGGCAGCAGGAACTTGTGAATCACCACAAGCTTGATCTTCACAATGGGAAAATTGTCCACCGATTAAGAATAAACGACGCTACAACCAGTGAGATTTGAACCACCGATTAAGAATAAAAAGGTTTTCACTTAAAAAAAAAATTAAAATTCATCAATTTTGAAATGATTTATTTGGACACCAAATGTTTATTTTAATTTTGTATTTAATATACTTTGAAGTAATAAAAAAAAGTTTAAAAAATAATTGATACTTAAACAAAGCTCATACACTTAAAATTGAGGGGAGAAAAATATCAATTTTATACTGAAACATATGCATGGTGTAAAATTACTAAGAATTTAATTTAAAAAATACATTAAAGTTAGATTTTATGAGCTTTGACAAAGTCATTTAATGTCTAATTAAACTTGTGCTATGAAAATTAGCAAGTAGTTTTTACATTGGTTTTTTTTTTTTTTTTTTTTTTTTTTTTTTTGTTAAAATTGGTAGGCAATTTAGCAAATTTTGAAATTAAAAATTTAGGATGAAAATTAATATATAGATGTAAAAATCAATAGAGAAAAGTTGAAATTTTATACATAAAAATCAGCTAAAAATTACAAAAATAAACTCATTCTTCTCCTAAAAACTTACTGAAAGAGTACGAAAATATAATTACGTAACTTTTCTCAAGTAGAAAAAATACAAGAGAAGAATATAAAAAATTATTGGTATTAATAAAATCTAGTTCTATCTATTTGATACGACCACGTTTCTCATTCATATTTAAACGCATGGGATCCATTACAAGGGAAAATCATCCAAGATGAACAGTTGAATCATGTGGAAAGCCTGAGTTTCCCAGATTCACCACATTTTTGTATCTTAGCATATCTTTTAGAGCCCTGAATTTGGTATGTTTCATCTCTCAGTCAAGTTCTTAGAATGATCATGGCAACTGATGCATGAAATCCTGCTAATTTGCATCACATAAAAGGCATTAAGCCAGTCAAGACATTGAAAGTCAATATTAGATAACAGTGGCAACAACGTTTTCCAAGAAACCCAAGTTTCATCGAGAGAAAGATTGAATGGAATACAAAGGCAAGCAAAAGAGTGGCATAATTTTATTTGAATGCTAGTCTAACCGATATTGTCCGCTTTGACCCGTTACGTATCACCGTCAACCTCACAATTTTAAAATGCGTTTGTTTGAGAGAGATTTCTACACCCTTAAAAGGAATGTTCGTTCCCCCTCCAACCAATGTAGGATCTCACAATCCACCCCTTAGGGGTCAGCGTCCTTGCTGGCACACCGCCCGATGTTTAGTTTTGATACCATTTGTAACCGGCCAAGCCCACTGCTAGCAGATATTGTCCGCTTTGATCCATTGCGTATCGTCGTTAGCCTCACAATTTTAATAAGTGTCTGTTAGAGAGAGAGTTTCACACCCTTCTAAAGAATGTTTCGTTCTCCTCTCACATTCTCTCTCCCAAAACAAAACTAAACTGGACCAACCAAAGACTAACTAAATGCACTTTAACTCTCTACTTTTAAACGTGTTCTACGCCATATATCAAGTATTTTCTATTGAATTACCTGTAACATCATAATCAAACACCCCAACAATTCCCTTTCAACCGTTGTTCGATCTCCTCGAGAAAGTGTATGGGAATAAACATGTATTTTCTCCCTGAAATATTCTCATAACGACTTAAATGAAACCAAGATATCGATAAGCAACTTGAAAGGGCAGATAATATGCAATTGAAGGGAAGGAAAAGAAAAGTATTAACACATTGTTCTCTTTTCATGAACTTTATTATGAAGGAACATTGAAAGTCATGAGACAGCTACAAAGAATTGAAAACTGAAAGAACCACTTATATTCTAAAGCCCTTTGGACTAATAAATAGTTACCTCTTCTTGATAGATATAGCCAAGAACCGATCACCACATAATGTCACTGTTCTTCTCTCCTGCTTTTCAAGGTTTTGCTTTTGCCTACACACATCTATCAGGAGAACAGATGAAAAAAATAGGGGAAAAAATAAAAAAAATCATCCAAACATACATCCAAGGTTTGTTCTTTAAACTTTGCCCATATTCTTTCCAAAATTTCAATATTACCTTGATCTTTCACAAACGTTTCAAGCTTACTCTCAAAGTAGAAACCTTCCGGTATTTTGAACAAAATTTGAGAGACTTCGAATAGTGGAACAAAAACTTGGATCATCACACCATCCTTCTAGATCACCATCACATCATTCTAAGTCCCGATTTTTGTTCAAAATCTAAAGGATTTCTACAAAGATGGCTATCAAATGGGCCTAAGCTATCCAAGAATTTTAAGTTGTCCTTGTATTTTAATTTGGATGATTCTAGTGGTCACCTGTATCTCCTTCTTGATCGTTGGAGAAGTCAGAAATTGATCAGGTTATGAGTAACTTCACTACCAATAGTCGGAACAGGAACAATTTCCATCGGTGAAGTGATGAAACCGATAAGGGTCCCTCAATACAATCTTTCGCCCAAGAATTCCACTGACAAACTTGAAGAAAGAATGGCAGTCACCACAAACACGAAGATTCTTGAAAATCCGAACAGTAGTACCTTCTGGAATATTGATCAATCCAAACGCAAGAGCAATTCTTTCGCTATGGTTCCACATATTATGCTCCTTCTGTTCTTCATCGGTATCCTGCAGTGAGTAGCTTGTATCAGGAACATAACCAGCTTCTCTAACCATTTTCATAAGTTCTAACAACTTGTCATTGATCTGGTCCGTTTGTGAATGTGTTTGGTCTCCCATTCCAAATATGCTGATATTTCCCTTCCATTTGACCCAGCTATGTGCAGGTTTCTTTTGAATTTTGCGTGCACCCATTTGTCCCCGCACGTCTTCGACATCTTTCCATCTGCCAATTGTTGCGAAGACATTCGAGTAAAGAACATAAGCTGAATCATCAGATGGATCCAACTCAAGAAGGTTCTCTGCAGCCTTTCTTCCGAGGTCTAGATTGCAATATATTCTACAAGAAGCCAAAAGGCTCCGCCAAACAAGATCATTAGGTGGTATTGGCATATCTGCAATAAAAGCTTCAGCTTCTACAAGCCTTCCTGATCTTCCAAGAAGATCAATCATGCACACACAATGTTCAATTCCAGGTTGAATTCCATATTCAGAAGTCATTGAAGCATAATATGCAAGACCCTCGTCGACTAACCCCCCATGACTACATGCGGAAAGAAGACATATAAATGATACATGATCAGGTTTTATACCTAGTTTTAGCATCTCATGAAAAGTTTCCCTAGCCTTATGAAAATGTCCATGTCTGGCAAAAACTGATATCAATGTATTCCATGACAATCGTGACCTATTGGTTGGCCGGGGAAGTATTTTTAAAGCATCATCCAGTTCCCCACACTTCCCATACATATCCATAGCAGCATTTATAACAAAATGATCACATTCAAATCCTAGTTTAAGCGTTGATCCATGAAGCTGTTGGCCTTCCTCCAACATAGCCAAGTCGGCAGTGACTGAAAGAGCAGCAGAGAAGTTGAACTGATCAAATTCAATTCCAGCACGTCTCATCCTTACTACAAGTTTCAAAGCCTCTTCTCCGAATCCATAACGAGCATTTGCAGTAATGATGGCATTCCACACACTAGAAGTTTTAAACACCAATTTATCAAAGATATAGCTACTAGAGTGAAGGTCACCACATTTTGCATACATTGTGATAAGGGAACTTTGGACATGCTGATCCAGATCAAATCCCGTCACAACTGTATGCGCATGAATGGGCCTCCCATATTTGATCAGATCCTCATTAGTCAAACAAGAACCGAGCGTATTTACAACGGTAATATAGTCGACACCGCAAGTACCCCCTTCCCTCATCAATTTGAAAGCTGCTACTGCCTCATTCGGTTCTGCATTATCAGCAAAACCACCTATAAGTGCATTCCAAGTTACTTTGTCATGCTTGGGCATCCTTTGTAATAACTTTTTCGCCTCAGCCATCTTATGGCACTTCCCATAAAATGTAATTAATGTGTTTCCAATGATCAAATCATCTTGCAGACCGAGAATGATGACAGAACCGTGGAGAATTTTCCCTTCGGTAAGGAATCCTGGATCTAAACAGGCAGCCAATGCACTTGTAAATGTCACATAATTGATCTCCTTTTTCATCCAAAGCATCTCAGCAAAAACATTTAAGGCACACAAGCACCTTCCATCCTGAACATAGCATGCTAACATGGAATTCCATGAGATTAAATCCCTTTCTGGCATTCTTCTAAAGATCATTTCTGCATCTTCAGATCTTCCAGCATCAGAATACATGCTTAAAAGAGTGTTACAAAGACAAATATTAGGTTCTAGTCCATATTTCACTACTAGACCGTGAACACCTTTTCCCCACTTCAAATAATCTAAAGAGCCACAAATTGATAACAAAATAGAAAGTGTTGTATCATTTATCTCTTCATGGATCGAGCGCATCCAGTAAAAATACCTAAATGATTCTTCATGTAGTGCATTTTGCGCATTTGCAGAGATGATGGAATTCCATGAGATTGTGTCTCTTTCATTCATCTCATTGAAAATACTGCAAGCCTCGTCAATGTCACCACAACCACCGAACATGGATATGAGAGAGTTAGCAGCAGAAACTTTAGTCTCTAATCCAAACTTTAAAACATGTCCAAGAAGTTGATGACCCAACAGTACATCCACAAGAAACCCACAAGAACTAATTACTAAAGCTATATTGTTTTCATTGCAGCATATTCCTTCACGCCGCATACGTTTATAAGTATTTATCACTTCCTCCTTACTTCCGTTATCGGAATATGAAACCATCAAAGAAGTCCAAGAGACCACATTCCTATCAGGCATCTCATTGAACATCTTTTGAGCGTTAGAGACAATCCCATAGCTACCATAAAAGTGCACAAAAGAAGTACCTACGAAAACATCATATATCAAACCACATTTAAATGCAAAACCATGAAGTTGGAAACCTTCATTGGCCATACAAGAGGACTTATTACAAGCAGTGACTAAACTCGCGATCACAAATCCACTTGGTTTAACGCCTATCCCACAAATATCTCGAAAGAACAATACTGCTTCCAAGTATGAACCCACTCGAACATAACCTGACATCATACTATTCCAAGAAGCTTCGTTTCTCTCAGGCATTTCATCAAATACTAACCGAGCATATTTTATACGACCAAACTTTGAATACATATTGATCAACGTATTGGTCTGGAACACACTCAACCTCACCCAACTCTTTAAGCAAATGGCATGAACTGTTCTGCCAACAATTTCTTCTGTGATCAGAGAATAACCCTTTTGAGAAAAGCATGAAACTTCTGTATTTGGGTGGTTAGAAAGTGATAAAAACAAGTCATTGGCTTGCTCTCCCACTTCTGTATTCCAAGTGATTGAAGTGGGCAAATTAAGGGCAGGCTGCCATTAAGATTCCACAAAATGAAAGGGATTAAGTTCTTAAATCTAATCAAATCAATAGCAACAACAAACAAAAAATAGCGATTTACAGAGAAATCAGATTGAAATACTTGACTTTAGAAAGTTCAATATATAAGTTATAGGCATTGGTGTAGACCTGGGAAAAATGGCTAAATTTGCTAGCATGTACTTGACCACTTCTTCCATTTTGAGGCTCTGATAGTGCTCCGTGAAATCTACACAAAAATGAACTTCAATCAAATCCAAGGAACCAAAGAAATTTCCCAGATCAATTCTGTTGTCTTGTAAATATATACATATACACAAAAGTCTATGTTGGCTGGTTAACTAAATTTGAATTTGATCTTATCTTTAGATTTCAGGTATTCTTCTTAAGTTTTGGTTGACATCTGACTGTAACTTTTATTACTGATCCTATATATGCTATAAAACTGGTTATTTGATCTAACCTTCTTGCTAAGTTGACCCCAAAATCAGTAATAAATTGCAACAACCCAAAAAATCTTCCTTTATTGCTATACTTCAAGATACCTAAGATTGAAGAAGAAAAGGGGCGGAAAAAAAAAAGAATTTAATCAGTCATAACAGCAAATAAAAGAAACCAATTAGCCCCGGCTACAGATAGACAAGGCTAAGTATTGAAACAAAACGAGCTGGTAGATGAAGAAATAAAAGAAAACTCGAGTTCTTCTTTCACTATGTTTTAAACTAGGGGGAAAAATCAATTTTTACCCTTAAACTTGAAAGTGTGTCAATTCTTACACTCAACTTTCTATTTGATCAAATTGAAACTTAGAGAGTTAGATACCATTTTTCCCTTTCATTAGACCTCAGGTTGAAGAGTTGATACTCCCAATGATGTTCAGTGGATAACAAAACAAACGTTGGGTAGGAAATTATTGAGATTTTAAGAAAGCCAATGCTAGAGCTACATATTTTTGCTCAAATTGGTAAGTTTGGGGAGATTAATTCAAATGATCAATATTAAACATTTATCCATTTGGGCTTAATTTTCTGCATTATTCGTCAGAGCATCATTTTCAAAAGTTGCGCAACATTACCACCCTTCACCTTTCATACACTTTCGAAAGCTACCCCTCGAGGAAAAATCGTTTAGAATTTCGAATGAAAATTGAGACCTAGAATAGTGCGGTAGTGATCTAGATTGACATCGCAATCCAAATTTCCACTTTAGGTCACTGACATGCCATTCGAGATTCCGATATCTATTCAAAATGTTAAAGAACTTCTACTCAAAAAGATAGTTTCCAAACATTTATGAAAGTTCTAGAGTGACATTGCACTTTTTGAACCCTATGTCTCCTACCTTGTTATTCCTCAAAAAAATGGATAAAATGAAAGGGCACCAATTACACAAAAGAATTCAGTTTCCTCCTCATTCTTCTTCCAGTTAAACAACACACAGATTTTTACAGTTTCCGACTAATCATTGATACAAAATAGCCCTAACTAAAAGAATCTGATTCATTTTCTAATAAACTCAATTGAAGAATCCACGCTGAAATTGAAAAGAAAACTCCAAACCGAGTCTATGTCCGAATTTTACAGAAGCTATTGAATATGGAGAGAACGAGTAACTCACTTGGACGGAGCCCTGATGCAGTCTGATTGAAGGGAAGCATCAGCAAGAAGGAAAGGAGTAGGAAGCTTGAAAGATGAACAGGGTTTTCTTTTGCGCGGGGGGAAGGGGGCGGGAATCTGATTGTAGAAGATGACTGAACCATATAATAAAATTTTTCTTTAATGATTTTTAAAATTTTAATTTTACATTACACTTACAATATAATAAAATTATTTTTGGTATTTAAAGTTTAAAATTTTCGTTAAATATTTTAATTTTTTACCTTTAAAAAAAATTATCCGACAATTATCTTCCAATAATTTTTTTAACTTTTTTTAATAATTTAAGAATATTTTTAAGGGGCTCTTCCTCCCGATTCATTCCCGGAGGCGGCTGGGCATGGGTGTCGCGATGGGTCTATTTGCGATATTCTGTTGAATGAGTGAAAGAAGGTGAATGAGTTTAATGTTCCTGAATAAGAGATGGAAGTCTTCTTTCGTTTCTCGACGGTGATCAAGCCTTGGAGCTCTTAATGTCATAAGTGGCAGGATGGAAGATTTTGAGTCCTCTGCTCTACTAACTGAGCTATACCGGCCAGTAGGATGAAAAGCCCGGAACCGGTTAAGATTCTAGACTAGATAATCAGATTGACCTCACCTGATGGCTTGGAACCTTCAACTTGTCCCTGATTGAACTCGGTAAAGCAGCTTCTCTCCTGAACCTATTTATTCACCGTAAAGTTAGAGTTTTTAAAAAGTTTTTAAGTTATTAATGAAAATTTTAAGTGCAAAATTAAAAGTATATTTTATTTATGTCATCTCCTATGATTGAACTTTAACGGTCACACATTCCTATTTTTTAGGGTTTTTTTTTCCACAATTTCCTTTTAAATGGGTAGTTGTTGACTTTGAAATTTCAACATTTGCACCAATTTTTTTGGCTCTAATTTGTATAAAATTGTATAAATTATTTTATGAAATTTATGACTCGTTCCGTAGAGTGATAATAAATTTTCGAGAATTGAAAAACACAATAAAATACCATTTGAAAAACCCTAACTAAATAATTTTGTATTTTAAGAATAAAAAATTTGAACGTCTAATCTAAGTTTTGATCGATATTCAAATCTATAAATTTGAACCCATGATGAATTTAAGGATATCAATCTCTCACCAACCCAACATCCATTTGGTCAAATTGGTGCATTCATGGCGGTGGAGTTACATTATTTATCTATCCACTAGCGCCAAGCCGGTTATTAGAGTCCACTTTAAGTCTAATTTTCCATCTCATAATTCTTTTTCGAGTATTATCGTTTTAATATAAAAGATATATATATTTACTTGAAATTATTAGAAACCCAGTTCGCTAAGGTGATTCGTTGACCTTTATACCACCTTATGATCAAATATTACTGTATGTTCGTTGAAATCGAAATTCGAAATTACCCTGATCTCAATTTTGTAAAACTAAAAAAACCCATCTCTAATTAGAAGTTTTTGGGTTACAGTTAATTTTAACATCTGTAATAATATAAGGGATTTGGGATATCAACTCGAGCATAGTTAAATTGAATGACATCAATTATCATTATAAATAGGGACATCGGTGAGTCCACTTAGGAAAGCTACCAAACCCACATTCATTTTTTCCCAAATTCATCATAATTACAACGACCCATAAATTTTTAACATAAAGTTTTGTGCTTTTGACGATCTCTCCAAAACCCATCTCCCCATTTATAAAAAGGGTACCATTATCATCCATTTTCCCCACTACAATTCAGCTAACACTACGCTTTGAAGTCTTTGGCCCTTTGTTCTTGTTTGTTTTCTTGTTGAGCAATGGGTCAGGGAAGGGGCAGTGCGGTGGTGGGTGCGGTGGTGGTTTGTATGCTGCTGCTCCAGTATTCTCAGGTGGCTCGTGCAGCAGTTTATACTGTTGGAGGTGCTAAAGGCTGGACCTTTAATGTTGCCTCCTGGCCCAAGGGAAAGCGCTTCCGAGCAGGCGATACACTCGGTAACTTTTGTGTTAAGCACTCGAAAAGTTATTCTAAACTAGTTTTAATATAGTGTTCGACAGTCTTATAGTCGTATGCATTTAATTTGACCTGTCTGAGACGTGTCCCGAGCTGGGACTGTGTTTGTTTTCTAAATGCAATAGAACTTGTAACACATTTGTCCATAATCCGAGCTTGAACATGTGGCTCTTTAACTCTTTTTCCTTTCTAAATTTTTCCCTCTTTCAAACAACTCTAGTAGGGAGAAGTTTCCACACCCTTATAACTTCTCACTGTTCTTCTCTCAAAGTTTTCAAACGCGTCTAGTAGGTAGAGGTTTTCACACCCTTATAACTTCATTCCCGTCTCCAACCGATCACTGTTAGCTGATATTATCTCCTCTCCTTTCTGGGTTTTCCCTCAAAGTTTTTAAACCCGTCTAGTAGGAAGAGGTTTCCACACCCTTTATAAATTCGTTCCCCTCTCCAACCGACCACTGTTAGCAAATATTGTCTTCTTTCCCTTCTAGGTTTTCTCTCAAAGTTTTCAAACACGTCTGTTTCTACACCCTTATAACTTCATTCCCCTCTCCGATGTGGGATTTCACAGTCCATCTCTCTTGGGGGCCTAGCGTTCTCATTGGCACACCGTCGGTATCTAGTTCTAATACCATTTTTAAAGGTCTGAGTCTACCGCTAGTAGATATTATCATCTTTGAACCCTCCTAGACTTCCCCTCAAGATTTTAAAACACGTCTAGTAATGAGAGGTTTACGCACTTTATAAGAATTGCTCCGTTCCCCTCTCCAACCCTCTTCAGCCGACGTAGAATCTCACCTTTGTAACTTTTTGTTATAAGAAACCATTTGTTTTGTGCAGTATTCAACTACAGCCCAGCGGCACACAACGTGGTGGCTGTCAACCGAGTGGGCTACAGCCGGTGCATAACTCCAAGGGGCTCCAAAGTTTTCAAAACAGGAAAGGACCGAATCAAGCTGGTGAAGGGACAAAACTTCTTCATCTGCACACTCCCAGGCCACTGCCAGGCCGGAATGAAGATAGCCATCACTGCAGCTTAAAAACACCGCCACATCTTGCTTGAGAGTCCACCATTTGGATCAAATTTTAATGGATTAAGTTACTTAATTTCAAATGGGTTTTGGAGATTATGCCTTAATCGTGTTGAATTTGGTGTCTAATTAGACTCTCATGCAACAATCCTACTAAGAATATGAGTATTTTCTAGCTTAAATGCACCGTGGAATAAAATTTAATATCTTTTAACTTGTGTTAGTACTTTTTTATATTTATATTATTTCAAATTTGTATTTAAAATACTACGACTGATAGCTTGTAGTGAAGTGAGGCAACAACAATTTTGTTGTTGGTAGTGAACGATAATATTTGTCAAAGCTACGATGACAAACATGGGTCATTGTCGGAGTTGATCGATGGTGGGTAGTGGAGGAATTTGATGATGATGAGAGGTGGTAGTTGTCAATGGTGGTTTCGACAATCGCCGACAGTGAGCGAGTTGGAAATACTCAAGAGAAATGAAAGTAGTGTGAGGTTATTTTGGTCATTTACTATTATGTCGAGGTTGACGACATAGATGTCCACGTAGTGGAGTAGGAACAAAGAAGTCTTCCTTGTTTGCCTACATAAAATTATTTTTATATATTTTTTAATTTTTTTTAATGAATAATTTATATTAAAAAAATATATATAAACATTCTAATAAATTCAATAATATTTTATAAGCATGCATGTGGTTTCCAGCTGATTACTTCACACCACCGATCCTTAAGGAAGAAAGAAAGAAATGGCTCAGGGAAGGGGCAGTGCAGTGGGCATGGGTGCAGCCATGGCTTGCTTGCTGCTGCTCCAATACTCTGACATGGTTCGTGCCGCAGTTTTCACTGTGGACGACAATCATGGCTGGACCTACAACGTCGAATCCAGTCCTAACCAAAAGCTCTTCCGGCCCAGTGACACACTTTCTCTCTCGAATTTTCTCTCAAGGTTTTAAAACGTCTCTCTTATTAAAAGTTTCCACACATTTGTAAAAAAATGTTTCATTTCCTCCCTAACCGATATGCTCTCACAATCCACCTTCTTCTAGGCCTACTCGTTATTCTCTCTCTAATCGAAGTGGATCTCATAATCCAACCCCTTGTGGACTCAGCGTCCGTGTCCACTCTATTTGGGGTTCAGAGTTCTCACTGGCACACCGCCCAGTGACTTGCTCTGTGATACCTGTAACAACCCCACCCCAAGTCCACAACTAGCCGATAATGTCATGTCCATACTAGAGAGAGGTTTCCACCGCTAGTAGATACTGTCCGCTTTGGCCGTTTACGTATCGCTTGTCAACTTCACAGTTTTATAACATCTCTATCATAGAGAAGTTTACACACCCTTTCAAAGAATATTTCGTTTTCTTCTCCGACAGACGTGAGATCTCACATTTCTTCTTCTTCCATTTTTTCGAGAAGAGCCGTACCATTTATATTTAGTTAGTCCACTCTTTTTAAATATATATATATATATATATATATATATATATATATATATATATATATATTAGTTATTTAAATTCATTTTCACTATTTTTTTTTATTAAAAAAACTTTTAAATCCAATCCCCAACAATGTATTAACTTTTTTTCCTTTTATTTTAGAAATGGTGTTATATATATATATATATATATATATATATATATATATATATATACATATATATATATATATATATTTTTTTTTTTTTTTTTTTTGAGTTGTAGGGCATAAAAGGGAATAATTATAATAATTTGAGAAAATGAACAATATTATTATTGGACGGTTTTAAGTCAACTATTTGACATATTTACAATATTGACCATTACCCTAAACGCAACGTGCTAAGGTGTACTAAAGTCATTGGCCAATTACAAGGGCAGCTCTTTCTTTTCTTTTTTTTTTCCTCTTTTTCTACCCGTTGACTTAATTTGAGCTTTGACTTTTAAATTATTGATTAATTAAACTAAACAAAATTATTAATATTAATTTAGTTTTGACCTTTAAAAATATAAACCTAGATAAAAGCTACTAGAAATATCCATTTAATTAGAGTTTAGACCTGAGAGTAGCGAGAAACAGACAACTCCCATTAGCTAAATACGTCCAAAAACAAGACAAAAATTTATTCATCGTCTCTATTTTTGCCCATTTTATATATTCTAATAAGTAGATAAATTTGGGGCGGGACGGAGACATTAAAGCCTTTTCCGTCCCTGCCCCATAGACATCGAGACATCTACTTAGGATTCTTCCAATACTTTATAGTTATAAATCAAGCTTTTTTTTTTTTTTTTCTTCCATTATTAAATGCAATAAACCCTACATTAATGTGACTATAAAAAGGGCCAATATCCCTTAGTTCATCTCATCCACCTCTTTTCCTTACCTCTAACTAAACATAGAGTTCCTTTAAAGTTGGAAAAGAAATGGGTCAGGGAAATGGCAGTGCCATGGCTCTCACTTTGTTGATTTGCCTGTTCCTCATCCAATCTGGGATGGCTCAGGCTAGAGTCTACACTGTTGGTGATGCCCAAGGCTGGACCTTTAATGTCACTAGCTGGACTCGGGGCAAGATATTCCGTGCTGGTGATGTCCTCGGTAAGCTTCTCGATCCCAATAAATTGTTTTATACTCGTTTTCCTCAACTTCATATGTGAGATCCCACACATTTCTTATATGGCTGTAGAAAACCTCTTTCTAGCAAATGTGTTTTAAAATTTTGAGGGGAAGTTCGGAAGAAAAAGCCTAAATAGAACAATATCTGCTAGCGGTGGGTTTGTGCTATTACAAATGATATCAGAGCTAGATATAGGGTAGTATGTTTGTGAGAACGTTCAGCTCCCAAGGAGGAGTGTATTGTGAGATTCTACATCGGTTGGAAAGTGGAACGAAACATTTGTTATAAAGACATGGAAAATCTCTCCCTAGCGCAGATGCGTTTTAACACATTGAAGGGAAGTCTAGAAGGGAAAATTCAAAGAGGATAATGTCTTTTAGCGGTGAGTTTGGGTTGTTACAAATGGTATCAAAGCTAGACATCAGGCGGTGTGCCAACGAGAATGTTGGCCTGCAAGGAGGGGTGGATTGTGAAATCTCACATCGGTTGGAGAGGAAAAGAAAACATTCCTTATAAGAGTGTGGAAAACCTAAACCTGTCCATAATAGGCACGTTTTAAAACCTAGAGAGAATAATATCTCCTGACAGTAGGTTTGGACTGTTATACCATAGTTATCGTACTAAAAATTATTTTGAATGCAGCATTCAACTACCCTGTAAAAGCACATAATGTGGTGGCGTTGTGGACTAACAAGGTGGCCTACAATTGGTGCCTGAAAACGAGAGGCTCGAAAGTTTACCAAACGGGAAAGGATAGAATCAAGCTCGTGAAAGGAGACAACTTTTTCATGTGCAGCTTCCCAGGGCACTGCAAAGCTGGAATGAAGATCGCGATTAAAGCTCTTTAGAACATATGATATGATATAATATAATATAACGTAACACAAACATTAAAAAGCAAATTATTTTTATGTTTTAATTTGTTTTCTTTAATGTGTTCTTGTTGTAATGTTTTTTGTTTGGTTGTTTTAATTTTGATCATATTATTGTTCTAATTAAGTGTTCTGCTCGTCCAGAAATGGCTTCGATTATGAATATTAAATAAAATTAAGAAAATATTAAATAATGGAATTTTAATTATTATTATTATTATTATTTTCTATTATTGAGTTAGAGTTTTAAAGGGGTTATTGAGCTCTCCAAACGTGTAGGCATGTCTTGTTCTGAGGAGAGAGAATATCCTTTTTTTTTTTAATTGTTAAATTATAAGTTTACTCGCTTAAATTTATTTATTTGATTTTAGAACTTTCAAAATTATTTATTAATTAAATAGAATTTTAATTTTGTGCCAATTTATTCGATATTTTTTTTTTAATTTTGGAATTACTATTGGGTTTTATTAACATAGAGTTCAAATTTATAATTAATAGATTAATTATTTTTTTTAAAAAAATTGTAGAAATTATTTTTAAAAAAATTAAATAATTATTAAAGAAGCAGACTATGACTAACCCTTAGTATGATATTGTTCACTTTAAATATAAGCTCTCGTGACTTTGTTTATACCAATAGAGATAGTGTCACTCACATATATATTCACAACTTTTCCCTTAATTAGCTAAAGAATTAGCCCATTCATAATTGATTATGAATATGTTTGAATGTTCGTGCTAGAATGAACAAACAAAAAAAGCTAGGAAGAAAAAAATGAATTGAAATTTTAAAAAGAGTTAATTTGGGAGAGAACAAGCATATGCTAGAACAAAATTCCAAATTTTAAGATGAAGAGAAAAGTGAGTATCAAGTTTTGCCATCTTTGGGAGATTGATGATACTAATGTTGATGCCTTCGAGCTGTCAACGACGCTGCATGTTAGCTGCTTGTCGTGATATGAACACACCTTTTGGTTCCTACGTTTCAAAAATCATTTTTAAAAGATTAGTTTACGGGTAGAAATTTGAACCTCAAATCTTAATAAAAATGGTACCTGGTTGCACAAAAGGCGACAACGTAGTCAGCTGAGGAACATGTCAAGATGCTTGTAGGATCATCGTATCCAAAACTATAGGCAGCTGGGCAAACTTGCTTGAAACTCCTCGAATAATTCGTCGGTAAACATGTCATTGGGTTATCAAACTGCCCGGTGCAACAGTACTCGCCGGTATGGAACACATCGCAGGCGCTCCGACACGCCACCGTCTTCCCATCCTCCTTCACCGCCAGCTCCGGTGGGCAATTGTCTCTCAAGTCTCCATCGCACCCCGCCGAGCTGCAGTTTCCTTTACCACCCGATGGTTGTATTGCTACCGGGAGATTGAAGCCATCCACAACACTGACATCATAGTAATCAATAGAGCCAAGGGTAAAGTCAGCAAGGGTGGAAGGCCGGCTTCCCGGACCAGTACAGTTCAACACTTCCCCACAGCCACCGGTCTTACATTTCCCATTTCCATCCTTGTCGAAGTCGCAGCCTGTTCGTGCCCATATCCGACCGGTCCACGAGTCGGGGATGGTGTAGACGGTGGATTGGCCACGCTTGAGGGAAAATCCACTGCCGGTAAAGTTTCCTCCGGGTGTGATGGCAGGCCATATTGTATCCTTGCATGAATTAACAATGGTGAAAGTTCTTGTACTCTCTGAGATCCTAGCAGCTGTGAGAAGATCAAAACATAGTCAAGTGCGAGCATTAAGAACATGAATAAAACATCAAGCTTTGAACTTATTTACCAATGAAAAAGAAGGTGAAGGAGGTGAAGAAGGAGAAGAAAGCCATAATATGTGGGTGAAGCTGGGAGTGGAAGCCATGGGAAGAGATGTGAAGCTTTTATAAGATCAGTAATGGAAGGAAGAAGAAGAAGAAGAAGAAGAGGAAGAAGAGTAGGAGGTAAGAAAGAGAGTGAGAAAAGCTTCCTTGCTTAGATAGAGAGCATAAAGATCCAATGATACCTTGCTCTATCAAATGCTCTAACTCTCCACTATATCTCACATCCATTTCCTTTCTCTTCAACCATGATTCTCTATAAGAATAACAAAAAAAAAATATATTCCATTGAGTAATGGTGAATATACATAATCCTCCAAGTTTGGCATGAATGATCCAAATCTCTCATTCATTTTTTAAGCTAAAGCTAAACAGTGTAACAGAGAGAACTCAAACATCCGACTCTTTTGAATTTATACAATTACATTCATGAGCAGGGGGCGGGAAAGTGGTGGGCAGCGAGCGGGTTTTGATGAAGAAGAAAGTTGGGGAAGGGTTTGTTTCTTCTTTTAAGACTAAAGAAGAAGAAAAGGATGGTGGTGGTGACCATCGCCCGAGGACGGGTGAAGGGCGGGGAGGAGAGAGATTTTTATTATCATTTTGATACGTGAACTCCCATTATCGGGTTTTCGTATTCTCGTTAATTCAGTGTTCAATTTTAAATGTTCGTTCAGGATGAGATTCATTAACGAAAGATGAGCCATTTGGAATGAAGCTGGGTAGTATGTATGTAAGTAGGCATTTTGCTTTCTTATCCAGTTTCTTATTTCAGGACTGTACAGCTTAGCTTAGCATTCAAACTCATTTCATAATATATTACTAAAACATATAGAGCCAGCAGGAGTTGCTTCCCTTTGGAAGAACAACATCCCTATTTCCTATGCAGAGTTAAAACAGGGGAAATATCTCCAGACTCTATACTGAATTTGTCTGGGGTGAAGAAAAGACCTGTTTGTTATTACTCGGTACAACCAAAAATGAGATTCCGATCGGACCTCGATCCTCTTGTGTTCTTCGTATCCTTCAGACGACTGTATGCTGATTGATTTTCAATCCTACAAAGATGAGAAAGGAATGAGTTGTACTCTGATAGATATAAATGAATTGATTCTGTGCTAAGAAATGTGTATCCCACATCCTTTCAAGTCTATAATCAAACAAAATATGTCAAAGCTTACATGATCTGGATGTGAGGAATGTGTGGGCTGCCTAACTCTATGCGAATCTTCCTTTGTTTTCCCTGGTTTGTAGCGAAACAGCAGCAGAGATGCACGTGGTGATGATACCCGGGGTTGATCAGCTGGAGGAACGACGATCAGTCTTGTAGACTTCGGATAGAAGATTGGAGGCATTGAATGTTCATGAGGGGAAGGTGCAGGAACCATAGAAAGGGCTGGAGACGAGGTTTCACAATTTGCTTGAGGCGGGGAACGATTTGCAGGTGGTCGTGCAGATCTCGATGGCTGTGGGGCACTCAGTAGTTCTACATGATCACCAGGTGCTGGGGCAGGAGCTGGAGAAAAACTCGGTGGCATAGCCATGGAGGTTCCCTTTGGATAAGAAGGCAAACTGATGCCCTTGACTTCTCCAAAAACAGAATAATCAAGGCCGAGATTTCTTTCGGAAGAGGTATTAATGATTGCAGCCAACTGCTGTAATCTCTGCGTCGTTATGCGTCCCAATTCCGACGAAATAGAAGCCTGAACAACTACGATGGGCTGCATCGTCGAGCCAATCTTGTTTGTTATTTGCAAATACACATTCTGTAGAACAACAAAGAGGGGAATCCAACATCCATTACTCAACTTAAAATTTCATCACAACTTATGATCTGATCTCAAGGTCTAAGAGCTAATATTCAACAAATTCGAACCATAACAGGATTGGTTTCAGTACCTCATAAGGCCTCAGACACAATTCCAACTTAAACTGGCTCATGAACTTTGCAAATTTGTTGAGTATTTCAGAAATGGAGTTAGTCAGAGTGAAGTTAAATACGATCTGGGGAAACTGCCAAATCGAAGCATGTTGAAACGGGATTATAGAGATTCCCCCTGGAAACTTGAGGATTTGAAATGTCGATGGCTGTCCAAAAATCGAAGTCGTCAAAGTAAGGTTGGATTTGTGAAGGAAAAGGTCATATAAAGACGATCTCAGCAGACTTAAGGACACTGGATTTATTGGAGTAGTAATGTATTCAGAAAGAAGACCAAAAACCACGTAAGTCCTGTTCGACTCACCTAAATCGTGCATCGACAGAACGGAAACCTGGTAACATAAACGACGCCCCTTAGTCATAAATGACTTTACTTATAAAACTAAATTCAAAACATTAACAGAGCACAAAACCTTCACGTTTGGTATGTCTAATTCACCATTGATATCAAACTCTAATCTCTTGATGTGAGGGAGAAGCTCCTCGACTGGCTTTTCGAGAACAAAATACACCTGAACTGTAGCTGGAAAAGATAACAAAAACTTTCTAAGCAACAAAAATTCACAGAACATCCAAGTTGAAGCAAAAGCAAAGTTCAGTTTGTTGCTGTCCAGCAAACTATGAAGTAAAAGTTTCAAAGTTAGCTAATGCCTCGTGAATCTGATTCGATTTGTACGGATTAAAGACTTGAAAAAGAAGAACACACACCCGATCCCTCGTGAATCTGATTCTAACCAAATAGCCCACAGAAATCCAAGTTGAAGCATAAGCAAAATCTGGTTTTGTTGCTATCAAATAGCTATAGTGTAAGAGTTTCAAAGTCCGATCCACCAAATCGTCCTGACTCCGATTCTTCTGGGAATATGGTTCCCTGAGCTAAATGGTATGGAAGGAATATGATCCCTTTTACTATGTTCTAAATCATACAACTTTTGGTTCAACTTTCTTCCCATGAGGAAATTAGATTCCATCATGAAAGAATGGAACCAGCATTAAGAACATCGTTATGAACAGAACAAACGATCAATATCGAAACTAGTGGTGGGCTTGGCTATTATTCCTTTTTAGTGTTTGTTTGCCCCAACATCTGAAAAATATTGCAAACGTTCTTTCGAGTAGTAGTATCAGTGTGTGTCTCGGTTGCTGATACCCCATACAGTGAGAAACAAAAGTGTAATATCCCAAACCCACAGCTAGCAAATATTATCCTTTTTGAGCTTTCCCTTTCAGGCTTTCATTAAGGTTTCTAAAACGTATTTATTCGGGAGAGGTTCCACACCCTTACGAGGAATGTTTTATTCTCCTCTGCCACTTCAACATTTATGATAAACTTGTTGACCTAGTTTAACTAGTTTAGATAAAAACCACTAAGAACAGACAAAACAAAGAAGATAAACATAAAAACCAGCTTAAACCAGGATTAAACCTTGAGATATGGCCTCTCAACTTCATAATTAAAGGACCCATCAAAGTAACTATCAGAAATTTGTAGATCAGATGAGTTTATCTATAAACGCTTCCAGATTTACAATCTCAAGAGACACAGATAGAGCACAAAACAGAACGATCATTCAAAAGCATTAGAAAAGTATAAAATCCCATCAAGAAATTGCAAGACAAATAAGAGCAATCAAGAATCAAAGAGACATACGTACCACTGAGTTTAATGGCGTCTTTCGCCTCAAACCCTAAATTTCTTTCATGAAGAGGAAGAAGCCAAAAGAATCCAGGGAGAAACACCGCAAATCCCAAAATCAAAACGAACAAACACTTGAAATTCAACTCCGTAGAAACCCTACGAAACGCAATCGAACATTCACGACAAAGAAACCCAGAAGAATCCTCACGGCGGTGCTGCTGCGGCAGATTTTGATCTTCCCCTTTCCCCATTTGCAGAGCATCTGTAACAATCGCCCACGGAAAACCAAATCGAAGCCGGTAAAACGCACTAAAAAACAAAACCCTATGTGGATTCTTTCAGAAACAGCCAAAATTTGCGAACAGAATTGGAATAGATTGAAGAGAAGAGTAAAGGGGAAGATGAGAATAAAGAGAAGAGAAGGTAAAGCAAAGCTTGTCCAACAAATGGAGATCAAATGGAACTGTCACTCACTACCTTTCTGCAAATTCTTAGTATCCATTGATTTTAGAACGAATATCAAATGGACAAAAGAAACGGATTTTTAATTTTTGGGTTTGGCGGAAATTTGATGAAATGAAGTAGAAGTCGGTGAGTTGATCAAGGATTCCCATTTGGAGATTAGCGGGAAAAGGAATATCCATTTGTAACTGCAACTTGGACGGCAAGATTCAATGCATGTATTTAGAAGTTCATCACAGCTGTTCAGAAAAAATAAATGCGGACCGACCCGACCCGACCCGACCCGAGGTTGTGGTTTATAAGTTAATTTAAATAAATTTAAATTTTACAAATTGAATTATTTCATAATTCTTATTCCGTTCCATCCAAATTAAGTGAATCAAATCAAACCCAAGTTATTTTTAATTTTAAAAGATTTTTTATATATATATATACACAATTATATATGTATTAAATTTTATTTTATTATTTATTTTTCAACCAATTTATTTGGAAATGGTCAAAATAAATATATTAAAACGGACTACAAATTAACATTTACATTCTACTTACTCGAACCAACCGAACAAGGTTTAGGTTTAAAATATGCACAAACTCAACTCAATATATGTATCATTAACTAAGAACTTCTCGATAATTTTTTCTTCCTCTACCTAAAATGCTACCTATCTCACAACAAATTAACTAACTCGTGTTTGTGCTGTGTTCATTGATATCGTGCAAATTTTGATATGATTAAACTTTTATTTCATTCAAACGAGAGTAATTATGAGAATATGATAACGTTACAACTATACTAATAACGTTCAAAGTTAAGAGTTTTGGAACAATCTTCTATTAAGTGAAATCATGGGAAATTAATTGAGCAACTAAATTTGAATCTAGAAAATATGAGCACTAAAACTAATTAACCAATCTATTCATTTTTCTCTTTGAGTCGATACCTAATTTTTGAAATAAAAATGAGCTCTTCAACTAAAATTCCGGTAGCTTGAAAATAGTAATCTCGGTACAATAATATTAACTTATATATACTTTTTATTACTAAAAATACAATAATAGTATATTTTTTTTAGTACAACAAATTGGGTATGAAGATTTAAACCTCCAACTTTACCCGAAAGAGTACAACTCAATTACCATTGAACTATTGAACTATACACACTTTGATCAACAAACAAACCCTTGAAATCAATATACGTACGGTCAAACAAATAATCAATTTATGTATATCATATAATGCAGTTGTGTTCGATTTTAGATGACGAGATACAATGAGTGTAAAGATGGAAGGACTCGAACCTTTGAATTATTAGCCAACGACAAATGTCAAAACAAATTGACCTTTCTTATGGGTATCTCTAAACATTTTGACGATCAGTTTATCTAAGCATCCTCTGATCATAGAAAGGATGAAGAACATTGAATCTTAAGAATCAAAACTCACTAAATTCTATCAGAGCTTTCAAAGCAACAAAGAACAACAAAAGTTCAGTTCGTACGAGGAAGGAAAACAAAATATGTAGATAACTTAACCTTCTCTTTCTGCAAGAAGAGTAGTAGACTTACAGGTTCTCTAAATAAGCTTTCTCTTCTGAAAGAATCGCTTCAAGAACCATATCTGTAGAGTAGAAGCAATAATGCAGACACCCAACGACATGATACTATACAACGCAACTCGTGCGTTTGTTCTCTCGCTCACCGTCCTCATATCTGCTTCTCTGTAAGGATTCAAAATGTATAAACGAGGGTCGAAACGGGTCACGGATTCAGGAAAGTTAGTTAGTTAGTTACCTGTCCCTGAGATAAAGTAGATTTTCATGGATAGCTTCGACCGCTCCCTCGAGTTTCCGTAGCTCGAGTTCAACGCCCTAAACGAGAACAAGGTTGAGGCATTAGAATGGATGTTACAAGTAGCAGAGAAATATGAAAAGGTGAAGAGGGAATTAGGTGCCTCAATCTTCTCTTTTTTTGCAACTGATTCCCAATCCTTGGCAGCAATCCCAGTTCTCCAGTCAAGGTTCACACTTATCTCAAAACCAGGTTCAAGTTTTTGGTCAGTCAACCAGAAACAGACTAGGTAATTACCAGCTTCAGTGGTTGTAAATGCAAACTGACTATGTGTTATGTTCTCCGCGTGATGAAGAACGTTCCCATATGGCGATGCCACCTGAACGAGCTCACCATCAATCAGTAAAGTGCAGAACAACAACACACAATCAAGACATCAGAGGATCATACTTTCCCCACACATTAAGCAAACTCGAAAGTTATGGAATCATAATGAGGATCATACTTTACAAACTCGAAAACAGAATCATTCCCCACACATTAAGCAAAAAGCATTGCTTCGCACTAGAATTGTACGCGCTCGCTAATCAAGTCTTAAAAATTATGGAATCATAATGAGGATCATACTTTACAAACTCGAAAACAGAATCTTTCCCCACACATTAAGCAAAAAGCATTGTTTCGCACTAGAATTGTACGTGCTCGCTAATCAAGTCTTAAAAGTTATGGAATCATAATGACGATCATACTTTACAAACTAGAAAACAAAAACTTTCCCCACACATTAAGCAAAAAACATCGTTTCACACTAGAATTGTACGTGCTCGCTAATCAAGTCTTAAAAGTTACGGAATCGTAATGAGTATCATACTATCTAACATGTTTGACATCATTGAATAAACGAACATTTCACCACCAAATGATAGATATCAATTTCTTAAAAGCAGGCACAACCAATAGACAGGTCATGAACAGTCACTCTATCAATAATACAGTTCAAATGCTGTAAAGAGTCTAAGCTTCCATAGGAGTTGATCAAGTTTTAGATTAAGGGATCAAGGAAAAACAAGTTAAAACCAAGAAATAGCACAGATCATATTAGGAGAGACGCTTATTTCCTAAGATCAATGACCTTTTCAGATGTTCAACAGGGATATGGAGATTAAAAAACAACCCCTCGACGATATCGACCAAAAAACTGGTCAAAACATATTATCTAGAGACTTGAATTGAATTGTGAGTAAATATCTGTCACTGTCAATACCACCAAAAAACCGTTGAACTATGCACGCTTTAACAAATATTAATGTTTATGAGATAGAACAAACAAACTCTTGACATCAATGTACGTGGTCAAACAAATAATCAATGTTCGTATATCATATCATGCAATTGTGTTCGATTTTAGATGACGAGATACAACGAGAGTGAAGATGGAAGGCTCAAACCTTTGAATTATTATCCAACGACAAATGTCGAAACCAAGTTTTAGATTGAGAGGTCAAAGAGAAACAAGTTAAAACCAAGAAATAGCACAGATCATATCAGTAGAGACGCTTATTTCCTAAGATCAATGGCCTCTTCAAGATGTCCAACAGAGATATGGAGATTAAAAAACAACCACTCATCGATATCCACCAAAAAACTGGTCAATATATATATATATGCAGCCTCTAACGAAGAATTATTAAGCAATTTGCATGATATGTGCATCAGCAGCAGATTCCCAAGGTATTTCACTTCCTATTGAATGTTTTGAAACAATCTTCACAGCCAAAATTAGAAATCAAACAAACTACAATCGTATGAAAAGCTCAGAAGAAATAGATCAAATCTCTAGGCATTTCGAAATGGATCGTTCAAAACCAAACGGGAGAAGACAAATCAACAAACAAATAGCACGAAATAGAAAATCTCAAGGAACTAATCAAAGAGATTGGCGAAGAATCGAAGAGACCTTGGCAGAAATGGTGGGAGCGTTAGTTTGATCGGCGACGACGACATAATCGGCAAGAACCACGACGTTGTTCTGGATTTCCTCGGAGACGCACTTAGTCACAGATGGAGGCAAGCTCAACCAGATTGAATGAGCAGTTCGAACAAAATCTGAGGCGAGGAAACAGACCACGAACAACGGCAACACCACTTCCCGGCGCATGATGTGTCCGATCAACAAACTTTGAACTCAAAAATATGAAAAATAAATCCCAACTAAAATTTGATTTTGTTTTTGTACTCTAAAAAAAAAAAAAAATTTAAAAAAATTAATAATTCATATAAAATTGTGATTTTTTTTTTCTTATAATACAACTATATAAATATATATATTTATATAATTTTTTAATTTTTTATTATTTATTCTTCACACCATATATTTTCTACAAAAACACATATTATATATTAAATATTTTTAATAATTTATTTATTTTTATCAAGTATAATTTTTTTTAAAAAATCTGATCAACCCAACCCAACCCGATTAGATTCTAAATTTATTTAGGTTAGATTTAAATAAAAGAAAATTTATATATTAAATTGTTTTATAAATTTCTTAAATTTAAATTATATTTAGTAATGATAAAATAATTATTTTTGTTTACAATTATATAAACACGTATTTATTTAATTTCATAATTATTTTTTTATTATTTATTTTTCACACCACTGATATTACACCACAAAGGCGAAGCCACTGTAATATTTTGGACCTGAAAAGCTTCTCGAACTCCGCCGTGACGTTGAAAGTAACTTGAAAAACCTCCGGCGACAATGCCACCAAAACCGATGTCTTTCCGGCCAGTTCTTCCACCAGAGGACTCTTCAATTCAAATTCCCAAATGTTAAAACTGTAAGATTCAGAAAAGAAACCCCCCCCCCCAAAAAAAAAAAAATCGAAGCTTTTTACTGTTTAGCTGTGATAATGGAAATGCACTCCAAGCCTTCTTCTCCGGCGACTTTCCCGGCAGCAAAGTATTTGGGGACCAAAATCAGCTGACCCCTTTTCACCTCTGCATCAATTTTATCCGAAATTCCGACAATCTGAATATTCCCTGATCCCTTTTCCACATAGATCAGTATATCGGCCGACTCAGAGACGTACACCGGCGACCGGACGGCATTGGCATCTAGCTTTTCGAGAACTACGCTCAACCCAGATTGGCCAATGTATGGGAATTTAGATTCAGTTACCGTCGTGACAGTGGCAGCGCCGCCTCTGGCTCTGACGTCCGGCGCGGCAGCGTCGATGTTATAGACCAGTTCGCCGGAGTTTTGGGGTTTGGGGAGGAATGGGTCTGTTGAATTCCGAAGATTAGACCGCCGGACTGGCTTTTGAGAAGCGTGGCGGTTTCTTCTTGGTTTAGAGAGAAGACTTTTCTGATGTACTCCGGTGAGAAGCCTTGAAGAAGGCC